TTCTGGATCCACCACTTTAATAAATCTCTTTTTTAATCAAATGAATTTTTATTGTCAAAATCACCTTCTCCAGTTCTCCATGTAACATCCTCATAGATACATAGATATCTGTGGTTATAATGAAAAAGTACAAAAACATCAACTTATTGTTATTGCGAGAAAGCATGAGTGGAATACTGTCCTATTTCTTTGCTGCAGTCCAGCAAACTCTGCTTTTTAACTGCCAATTGTGTGCACGAACATATCGAGATGGTCAACTCACTCCTAGTTGATTCAGACGATGCTAAATAAAGACTTGTCCACAGTCAAACACTCTGATTTTCAAATACTATAGACTTTTCAAAGAGACAGCAAGATATGGTCAACTCACTCATAGTTGATTCAGACTATGCTAAATAAAGACTTGTCCATGCACTTTTCAAAGTCAAACACTCTGATTTTCAAATACTATAGACTTTTCAAAGAGACAGCAAGATATGGTCAACTCACTCATAGWAGATTCAGGAGCTCCATATTTTGACTGTAGTTTTTTGATGATGCTCTCATGCATAGATACAAATTCATTCTCATTGCTTCCACTAAGGCTACAAAGAAAAAAACAAATACAGTATATTGATATCAAATGAATGCTTATTCTATAAAGATCAGTTCATTTAATAAGACATGCAATACAGTATAGATTTCAAAAGGCCCAGTCTAAGATTATCATCATCATTATCATCATCATTATCATCATCATTATCATCATCATCATCATTATCATCACCATCATTATTATTACAACAACAGGTGTGCTTACAGTTGGATTGGCATGTACAGCTCTTCGTCCAAATTATTTTCCTCTTTTTCTTTGAGAATATCAACAATATCAATAACTGGAAAGAATAGTTAAGAATGGTTATTATAAGTATTTTAGGGAAAAAAAATATTTTGAATAACAAAATTTCTCATCAATAGGTTCTTGTAAGCATACAAATGTATGATATGCTAATATACTAATACCCA